CTTTACTATGCTCGCGAGGAATTTGTCCACTATGATCATTTCTAAATTTAGGAAAAATATTACCAAATTTAGACTAGTTATTGACTATTGTATCTAAATTTGGCAGTAAGAAAACTAAAATCACGTGAAGTCCTATTTTGAAAAAATTTATTACATTTTTGAACGAATTACAAAATTGCTATTTTGAAATTTTGCCACATAGCACAGCAACAGGAGGTCTTTAGACTGAGCCAACCATAGAAAAAAATCAAATCAAAACAAAAATGATTGACTAAACTTTATGCAGACCTTTTCATTGAAAAAACTTTTATGAAGGAAAGCTTGATGGGAGCTTTATTAAATAGTCATACAGCTTCCAAAATCATGTATTATGTGTATTTTTACAAACCTACCAAAAAACAATCAATAGTTGCAAAATATAATCATAAAGTTATCATACAATCTCAATAATTTTTTCATAAATGGTTAAATATACTGAAGAGTTGTTTGAGTTTATTGACCTGTCACTCAATCTTCTTTAGAATCCATTCAACTTCTTACTAGTAAAGCAAATAAATTTAATAAATATAAATTTACCTGAAATATTTTTGTGGCATTTCTGTTACAAATTCGTACTCTGTTCTTTTTGAATTATTAGACAATTGAGACATACCTATCAGAAGATTCAGAGGAAGTGCTGGGATTAAATCTTCAACTAGGACTTGCACTTTGCTTTCCCTTTCCTTTTATTATTATTAATGATGCATGTTAATACTTTTTGTATATATATAGATGATCTGCTATTCTTCTTTTTTCCTTGTCATATTATTTCTTGTTATTATTATTAAAATTATGAAATTAATGAATAAATAATACCATGAAATATATTAATTTATAAATGAACTCCCTCACTAAGGTTTCTGGTTCAAACTGTTTTCTCAAGGCCCAAACTAGTTTGGGCAATTTGGGCTTCCCAGCATTTTTTATAAACATGAACATTAAAAAACTATACCAATCAACTTATTTTAACTTAAACAACTTTAAAGTAATTTCACCAATTTCGGCTAATAACAAAAAATAGTTTGGGCTTATAAAAAAGTAATTTTTGCCCAAAGTGTTTTTGGCAATTTTGGCTATTGGAACACTGGAATGCATAAATTCCAGTGTTCCAATATGGCACATATATGGTTGCTTGCCAAAACCCCACCAGAACTCAATCAGCTGGGTTTCAACAGGTTACACACTAATTGTTTATTAGAGTTTCAGCAGAGTTCTACATTTGGGAGCTTCAGCAATTGGCAGAATTAAACTTGTGTCAAAGTGTCAAAATTCAAAACTTTCATAAGTTCAAAATTTGTATAAAAATTCGACTTATATCAAAGTTAAAATTTGTTAGTTCAAAACATGTATAAAGATTTAAAACTCGTGTCAAATTTTAAATATTTGAAACTTGCAATGTTTTTCTTTTATTCTAAAATTTTGGTGTAATGAACACCTGTAGATTTTTTTTTTCAAAATTTTTTAATAGTAAATTGATCGACAATTCTCTCATTTATTCACGGATCGTCAATTAAAAATTTGTTATCATCAATTAAAATACACTCTCCCAAAATTAATTGGTGACACAAGCAACTTTTGGCTAGCATGCCAGCAGCAATCTCTGGTCTGTGAAGATTAGTGAAAAACATCCTTGACAATTGGTGCAGTCTTGGTAAACTCCAGGGCCATATGCTCCTCCCCAGGAAATTTAATTGCATCATCATATCATCAGGGGATGAGGTCAGATTAGCCTTGTGTACATGAGGAAGATGTGAGAGAATGACTGTAATGTGTTCAAAGTAGTGTGTGCTTCAACACTTGTAAATTTCTGATAATCAAATGTTGCATATCTAATTGTTTCTTTTTCAACAGTCAATGCTGCCTTGATATCTTGTAATTATAATAATATAATATTAGTATTATTATTACGATTATGCAAAGCTAAGGTTGCTTGCCAAAACTCCTCCAGAAATCAATCAGCAGGGTTTCAGCAGGTTACACATTAATTATTTATTAGAGTTTCAGCAGAGTTTCACATTTTGAGGTTTTGCCATTTCGGCATAGTTTCAACAGGATTTTTGATAAGATTTAATAGTTTTGCCATGGTTTCAGTAATTACTAAGGAGGTTTCACCCACAACCTTACACAAAGCAAAATATTATCAATGAAAATCTTGTAATTACCCAGCAAGATCTGTTCCATGTTTTAAAATATTTATAAGCTAAAATAAAAATATCAATACAAATAAAAAAAGTACCTCTATCACTAATAAATTTCTTTAGGAGACCCAAACCAAACCAAACAACAACACTCACATTTTATCACCTTGGACTCCATCAAAAATAAATTGTTTTTTTGATTTTCCAAAAAAAAAAAAAAATCAATTTGTGTCTGTCCTCCCAAAAAAAAAACCAATAGGATAAATAATTAATGTGTACACATCAATCAAATCACAAACTTCTTTATTTTTTTTTATAAATATGCCTAGAAATAAAAGAAGAAAGAAAATGAGAGACAAGAAGAAAACATGATTGTTGCCATTCGCCATCACTCTAGTTTCTATATATATAAAATTGATGACTTGCTGAATCTTAATTATAATATTTTTTGTGAAAATACACCAAGAAATTATATAGATTTGATGAAACAATGCTGGGAGTTGGAACCCAACCAAGAGACCAACATTTCAAATGATTAATGATAGAATAAATGAATGGATACATTCTACTGAGTAAGTGTTTTTTAAAATGGTGGTGATTTCATACTGCAACTTTTGCTACTCTAATTATTTATAAATTTTGGTTTTTTTATTTACTTAGCATAGAAGAAAAAATAGAAATTAATGATAATGAGATCATAATGGTAATATTAATGTTAACAATGGCTATAGTTATAATGATCTTGATAATGATAGCAATAACAAGTGATGAAGAAGAGAAGGTGGATTTTCTCAAAAGGCTACTACCTGAATTGTCTTTAAAATAGTAAGATGTTTAGATGCATCAACTATGTGTAGAGCAGCACAAGTCAGAAAGAACTGGAGAAATTATGTTGATGGTAATGGATTTACCTGGAAGAAATGTTTGTTAGAAGATGGTTTTAATCTTGAGAAATCAGCAGAAGAACATGCAATCTCTGAAAATTGGAATATACAAAATTCAATAAGTTCTCCATCACTTCCTTGTTCAACAAATCATCCATAAAAAGAGATCTATCAAAAGTATTATTTAATGAATAAGATTTGCTCTAGTCCTTACACAAGTGATTCTGAAACAGCATCTATTACATCTATTCCATGGTGGGAATACAACTATATAGTATTTTCATTATTAATATGAATTATATTATATTGAGTTATTATAGGACTGGGAAAACTCTATTGTATGTGACCACCAAATTAAATAACAAATCATATTAATGCAAATCTTAGTTTTTTATAATTATGTGAATCGATTTTCCAAACACATTTTAAAATTATTAATAATGCGAATCAAAATAGCCAAGGACATATGAAATTATCTTTATTGGTTAAAAATATTTAAAGAAAGTTTTGTGTACTTGATTGACTAAAATGATTATAAATTAAAAATGTCTCATCATCTACTGCAATCAAACAAGGATTAATATTAGAATAAGAACATATTCCCAAAAAATAAACTACTTCTTGTGGTGTAATATGAATTGTAATGTCTCCTGCCAAATTTTCACATGAAAAATACTGTTGTGATACAGGAAGATAGGCCTTAATAGAAATATATGATAAATGATCTAAAAATCCTGCCAGCTTTTCTACCCATGAATGTCCTTGCCCACATTTTTCATAAAATGTAATAAATAACTTTGCCCAAACATTTGATAATTGACTCCAAGTGAAATAATTTGACCACATTTACAAATAACTTTTTTATCATTGACAAATTCTTGAAAGTTAGGGTATGTAGTAAAATGTTTTTGACATGAATCATAAGGAATTTTTTTTATTATTTTTATTATGATTTTTCATTTTAAATTTTTATTTTTTATCAGTATTATTATTTATTATAGTGTAACCAGGACCTCGGACAATTATAATTGAACTGATTGAGAAAAGTGGGTAGTGATCTTGTTAAAACAAGCATAGTGGACATTCGTTTTATCACATGTGACAAAATCGATCATTGATCTTTTTTATGTTGTGAAACGTGTGACTTCAATTGAATTTAGAATAGTAAAATTCACGTGACTGCACAAAAAAATTTGTTTAACCTGAGATGTATATAATATTTTCCTTTTTTTTAACATGTATATTTTGCTGTCAGTGTGTGTATTTCATAAAAGGTGCACTTTCGCTTTTTATGTTCCCAGTATGTGTGTGAAAAATGATCAAATGATCAAGTTGCTTTTGAAGGGTTACATAGGAGCTATATTTCAAGCTTTAGTGATCAACATAAGTATATTGTAAGACATTCTAGGCTCAGAATCATGCATTTTTGTTTTATAATATGTTTATTTAAAATTTTACCAATACAAGCATTTCAGAAATAATCATTTCTTCATTATCTTTTTCTAGTCTATTATTATTACATAGGACTTTATATTTGAGACAACACCTTTTTATAAAGTTCCATGATCATGTGTTAATGCTATACCTTCTTGTTCATTCTCTTTGATCACAACATCATTATTATTGACAAGAGGCGTGAGAAAAAAAAATGTGAAAAAGCTATCTATGATGGAAGATAAACTCTCACTTGTAAATATTATTATTTATTTTTTTTGTTATAAACTTGATACATTAAATTTGGATAATATTTTATTTATTATAGTGAAAAAATTATTTAAACAAACATGCATATATATCTTTAGAGGAACCATTACTAGCAAGAGGTTTAATAATATTCAATTATTACAATGCATATATATATAATTTAATTTCTAAAAAAAAATTTTTTAAAAAAAGGTGATTGATAACAAACAAATTGTTTTATGTGTATCAGATTGAGTAGAAAATCTTACTGACAAATGGTTTTTGGTATTGATTTGAGAGTTAATTGTTATTTTCTTTTTTTATTCAAGAGAATTGTTTTGAAAGTAGGTCACTTATGTATTTTGATTAATTACAGAATTAGAGAATGTTATTTCTTGATTTTTTAATGATTCATTTAAAATACAAGAAGGATTTTTAAACAACAACAATAGATATGGTGCGAATCATCTAAAGACATCACGTGCTGCGCCACTTGCCGAAAATTTTTATGCTGATATTGCTTTATAAAGAATCCAATAAATCCAAATTTGTAAAAGATCTGTGACTTTGTCACATGAATAATTGGTAAAATTGTGAAAATAATCTGTAAATTGCAGTTTAGATATATAGTTGCCGAAATTTTAAATAAAATAGCAAAGTTACCCAACTTTAAACCATTATAACTTTTTTTTTAATTAAATAACTCAAAAAAAACTTTCT